GGTGCAACTGAAACTAGAATTAAGTACTGTATCATCTGGCGGATGACTCAGAAAATTTGAAACTCAAATGACAATTAACTGAAAAAAATTTAATGCTTGCCTACATCTTCCTTCCTGTTAACGTACGCTAAAATAGAAGACTTTGAAAGTTTTGGAGTTGAAAATGACTTCAAAAAGGCTATTACGTCTTGATTCTTATGTCGGCGTAGCAAGTTCGTTGCCAGTCCTTGTGCACTATATGCTTTTTAACAGCTTCATTACTAGCCAAAAGGCTTTTGCAAGCCAAAATGAGACTTCGTTACACTTGATCTTAGCTCTTTTGTAAAATGAAGCAATCAAACTGATACTTCTTTTATCCCTTCAACATGAGATCATTAAAACGAGAATTAAGCAAGGTAGAGTAAGTGGTTTACTGCAGTATAAACTCCAGTATTGTTTGGACAAATGATAAGGTTCAAGGTAAGGTTTTTTAACGTTTAACCTTCGTAAAGGATCAATTTGAGATTTGCAAAAAAATAAACAAAAACGCAACTGCGTCTTGAACCTCTATCGCAGACCAGACCTCATGTCATACCTGCTTACTAACAAGTTTATTACAAGTCGAAATGCAGTTAGTAGCCGAAAACAGAACTTAATTTTATAATTGACTTTAGAAATTCGGCCGATAAGCATCAATTTGTCCACATAATCAACAAATAAAACCAATATAATAAACCTATACGTATTTTTGCAAATGCAAAAATACGTAGCCATTTCCAAATAAAGCATCTGTTTATAGACATTTTACGTATAGCCATTATATATTATATAAGGATGTTTCATTTGGAAACGGCTATACATTTACGTATAGCCATTTCCAAATGAAGCATTTGTATATAATATATATATATAATATATATATATATATATATATATATATATATATATATATATATATATATATATATATATATATATATATATATATATATATATATAAATATATATATATATATATATATATATATATATATATATATATATATATATATATATATATATATATATATATATATATATATATATATATATATATATATATATATATATATATATATATATATATATATATATATATATATATATATATATATATATATATATATATATATATAAGAATTTTAAATACTCACGTTTCTTAAATGAGCAACTTTTAGAGCTTCTTTATGCATTTTTCTGACAATATTACTTCTATCTTTCAACCTTTTACTTTCAGCATTTCAGAATTTCTCTCTCTCTCTAAGCTTGTAAGATAGCCATCAGGCTTTGAGAAGTGTTGCTGATGCGTGCATATGATTGCGGAGAAAGAATCGAAGTATGCTAAAGAAGCTTAAAGGTTGTCATGATGCGTGCATATGATTGTGGAGAATTTTGTCATGTAGGTCTTATATTATAGTATAAGACCTACATGATTTAGATTTGAAAATATATGTTATATTTATAAAAAAAAGAGTTAACTACAATGGTTAAGTTGTAGATATAAAATAAAAAATATGTTGAACCCAACACACAACCCTTTGTAACACTGGTTACAATGGGCCTATAAAGAAAAAATAAAATCCTTGATGTTTACATTGTGGTTAACAAATCTATTGATTTGTGTTGAGTAAACACTCCCGAAGTCAGTGGCAGATTAAGACTTCTTGGGGCCCGGGGCTATTTTTGTTTTTGGAGGCTTTTTTATGGGCAAGAGCCTAAAAATGGCTAAAAAAAAAATAAAGTCCTCTAAAATTTTTGGAGGCCCCTAATTTTTCAGGGCCCGGGGCTATAACCCCCTTGCCCCCTTGATCCGACACTGCCCGATATGTTTATGATTTCTTTTAAGATGGGTATTTATTATCAATATTTGTAGAAAAATGTGCTAATTGGTAGTAGCACTGTGTTACATTTAATAGAAGATTGACTTTGAAATTGAAAAAAAAAAGGAGATAGAAAAACATGGTCTAAAATATTGGTTTTATTTGTTGATAATGTGGACAAATTGATGCATACAAAGACTATTGACCTGAGTTAAAAATAAACTGACTTATTATTATGGCATTTTTTTATAACAAAGTTTTAATGGTACGTAGCATGTTTCTATTTATAAATTAACGTATTAAAATGTAAAGTTTGTATATTAATTAATTTATATATAATGATCTTGTAAAAGTACATCTTATAAAAATTGTTTATACCCAATAAAGATTACACAAGTCGTGTCATACTTAATTGGGAAAAAACATTTTTTACAAGATATACTTAATAATAAACTTGTGTAACACAAGTTTATTCCACATATGTGATTAAGTTTTTATTTTTTTATTTTTGCACAATATTTTAGAATTATCTTTGGATAAAGTAAAAAATATAACAAAAAAGTACTTTGATGAAGATTTTTATATAAGAACTAAACATTACAATGTTTAGTTGGTTATGTTATTGATACTTACCCGTCAAAACCAGTTAGTTTATATGTTTTTGCCCGTCGAAACCATTTTGTTGATATGCTTTTATCCGTCGAAACCAAGTTTTTTATACTTACTCGTTAAAACTCGTTAGTTAATATGTTTTAATACTTACCCTTCATCGCGTGTTATTTGATATGTTTTAAGTACTTACCCGTCAAAATCACCTAATATTTGCACTCTATATAAATTTATAAAAAAAAAATTTAAAACTTTTTTTTAATTTCTTAGTACCTTTTAATTTTATTTGGATTCAACATACGTTTAGTTATTGATAACTTTAAAAATTTGATTTTACAACAAAGTTTGAATACATTTTTGTTATCTTTTACTTTGTTTTTTTTTTTGTTATATAAACAACTTTATCAATTCAAATATAACTCGAATTATTACATTACTTGACTTTATTTACACAATACATAAACATGGTCGTGTTTTTATTTTTTTCAAATTAAGTAAGTTTAATCGTACTTATGGATACTAGTTGCATAAAATCACTCTTGTTTGAAATAACATAAACTCTCGTTTGGATAACGGTGTATTCAAATTATTATTACTTTGATTAATGGTAAGTTTATAAAACTATTAAATATCAAAAAACTAGTTTTAATTTATTTTTCACAACAACTAAAGTTTTTTTTTTTTTTAATTTTAAAAGATATTTTATTTCGGCTTGTAATTTTAAAACATCTTTGTTCACCATTTGGATTAAAAATGTTCTTCTAACTAATCATTTAACTGCCCAATCTGGTATAGGATGTATAGGGTAGGGTGGAACTAGTTAAGTATAGAGACAAGATGGGCAAGTAAAATATCTCAAGAAACTGCGCTTTGTACGACAATATACTTCATAGATAAAATGTGATCTAATTGGTAACGCATTGAGCAACGATAGGTTGTTTGACGATATGTAAGTGAAATGCATGAGTACTTTATCAATATTGGAACAAAGAGTAAAAAATTGTACATTCTATTTTTCTGTTAGACGTTTATAAACTATATATATGACATCATTTAAATTGTTGATACTTAATCCATTTATTAAACTTTTATTTATAATAAGTCATTTGTTTCCTACAATTTTCTCAACTACCTAACTTATAGGTCACCTTGTCTTGGAGTAATCGAGTAAGTTAAGCAAGTTAAGTTTAGCAAGATTGATTAAAATAGACAACGTTTTCTATTATATATATATATATATATATATATATATATATATATATATATATATATATATATATATATATATATATATATATATATATATATATATATATATATATATATATATATATATATATATATATATATATATATATATATATATATATATATATATATATATATATATATATATATATATAAACATTAAAGCACTAGTTTTTAAATAAGGCTTAAAAACAAGATAACTTCTTAAAATCATTTTTTTTTAAATATTACAAAATTATTAGATTATCATAACGTATTAATTTATAACAGTTTTATTTTATCTAAATCTTCATTTTGAAACAAATTTCTTGAAGTTTTACCTCGTCATTAAAACATACATTGTACACACGCTCATCGTTAACGTTAGTTTATTTAAATTCCATCTTGACAACGAGCTGCTCAACCTGCCTTATGGGGTATGTGTTAAACTTTAAACAATCTAAAAAATGTTCTTTTCTTTTCAACCAATTTTTACCAGACTAAGTCATTTTTTCTAATAGTAAACAATTATGTAAATCCAAAGCAACATTCAAGACGTCAGACTTAGTGAAAGTTGTTTAAGTAGCTTCAATCTAATTTTTACTGAGATTCTTTGCTATCTATTACACATTTGAGGCAGTGGCGGATTAAGACTTCTTGGGGCCCAGGACTATTTTTGTTTTTGGAGGCCTTATTAAGGGTCAGAGCCACAAACTAACTTAAAAAAAAAAAAGCTCCTCTAAAATTTTTTGGGGCCCCTAAATTTGCCGGGCCCGGGGCTATAGTCCCCCTAGCCCCCTTGATCCGGCACTGATTTGAGGCACTCCAAAATGACCTAACGGCCTTGACAAAAGCGCTGTGAAATATCATTTAATAAACACTGTTTTTCTTACCTCCTAGACTGAGCAACAACCAAACATCGGACTTTTTAATTCTTAAGTATGCTACTCTACCATTTCGACCCAATTTCATATCGCTTTATTATAACATGATCTACATCATTATGTACGTCAGAAAATACTTAACGTCATAACAACTTTATTTATTTTACAAATTCAAAAATGAATCAAGTTATATTTCTTTTTACTTAAAAATTCAAGTTAATGTGTATTCATTTTTTTATTAAACTTTTACGAACTCATTTATAATTAAAAACTAAACAATAAAGTGAGTCGTAAGGAGAACTGTTGAAAATGTTAAAATAAAATAAAAAGCGTGAAATTTTTGCAGCTTTAAAAAATCCTAAACTTTTTTTGTTTGTTTTATTTAAAAATAAGGATCTAATAAAGTGTTATACTCGAGTGAATAATATTTAGATAAACTGTTTACTTAAGCAACTTTTATAGCATGATTTAAAATCATTAAGAGAAAAAGTTTACACTTAGTTAATGGCGTTGCGTTTTATTTAAAAAACGCGATGAAAAATGAAAGCTTCAAAATCGAGTTGATTTAATCTCCACAGTGTTTCAAAAACACAAATATTAGAAGCTTTTAAAATGATGGGTAAGAATTAAATTTTTGCTTTTGATTTAACAACTTGTTTGGTATTTAAAATTTCATGCTATGAACAATATGTCTGTATCTTACATATTGGATTTCACAAATAAACAATCGACAAGGAACTTTTAAAAACCAGCAAATACATACACTTAAGCACCCTGATTTCATCATTTATTGAAAAAGAAAAAAAAAACTTTCGAAAAATATTATATAGTCTAATAATCTGTCATACTTATGCAACATCTTAATGTTCACATTTTTTTTTGTTTTCTCCTATGTTGCTTGTCTCTTATGCTATGTAGATCTTTTCTTATTTATTTAGTTTATTAAATTTTTTTTGCATTTATATCCATATTTATATGTGTTTACGTTTATTATTATTCTTATAATTACTATTATTACTATTATTATTATTTATAATAAATTGCGGCTATTATTACTACTTTAAATATATATATATATATATATATATATATATATATATATATATATATATATATATATATATATATATATATATATATATATATATATATATATATATATATATATATATATATATATATATATATATATATATATATATATATATATATATATATATATATATATATATATATATATATATATATATATATATATATATATATATATATATATATATATATATAGCCGTCCAATTGGTTTTTAAAAAATGTACAGAAAATTTCTGCTTATTTTCTTTGTAATGATGCCCAAGGTTTGTGTAAATGTGGATTGTGTAGTATTTGATTAGACTATCAAAATTAAATCCAAGTAGAGCTTCTAATTCTCGAACAAATATGTTGAATATTAAATATTTGTTGAATAAAATGTAATTTATTACCAGCACATTAAGATATAAATCTTTTAATTTTACCGCTTATTTTTTTTATTGTAATAGGCGTGAGTATTGTTGGAATAATGCTATTGATAACATTAATTGTGGGACTTTTTTCGCCATTTACAGCTTTTTCACTTTCACAAGGTATTTTTTTGTTTTTGTTTTTGCAATTTTTTGTTATCGAGGAGATATCAAGAAGAAAATAGATTTTTAATTGTCTTTGACGTATAAACTTAACTTCAAAATGAAATTTTATTTTTGAAAATTAATATTTCTCTCCTAAAAATTGTATTTATAAAACAAAACGTACATGCTTTTAATACATAGCATACTTATGATATAATGCATTGCTTTTTAAAAAAGCATGCTTGAGCGTATAAATACGTTAAGAAAATTAGAAAAGTCGTTGATTTTACTGTACATAAATGATTTATATTTGACGTTAAAAGTTAAAAGTTTTGCATTATTTACAGATGGCTGAAATCCTTTTTTATTCTCGTGAAAATATTAAAACACTCTTAAAAATAGAAAATGAAAAATTATTTTGATTAATTTGAATGTAATTGTATAATTCACATTATTTTTATCAACTAAAAACGACAACATTAGTAAAAAACATTTGAAGAACTTATTTAGCAATAAAGCTAATATTAAATGGTAAACATCCGTAAATTTTTTAAAGTGACTTCAGATTAAAGTTTATCATGAAAATTTGAAATAAACATTGAAAAAATTCAAAGATATACGTTTTGTTTAGAGAGCAAAACTGTTCTTAAATAGAAATTTCTAAAATCTATAGAAAGTTATATTTTTCATTTATAAATATTTTTATTCAAATATATATCAAATATTTTTATCAAAATATATATTTTTATATACTTTTATGTATTCAAAGTCTGTCTGTTACATTTAAAATAGCTCTTTACCTTGCCTAATTTACTATATACTGTTTTTTTAAATGTTTTAATATATTCGCGAGAAAAGACAAACATCTGCAAAAAGTATAAAATTTATTAAGTTTAACGTTAAACAAAAATCTCCTAGTGAAGTTTTGCAGTTAAACTTTTAAGCTTTTTATTATTAATTATTTTTTGAGTGTGCACATTGTTTTCTAGTTTTATTTTCAAACCAATGCAATTTTTATTTTTTATAACAATGCTATAGAATAAAAAAAAGACTTGACTTTGAAAATCAAAAGAATCAATTTTGTCTTAGATATACTATGTTACGTAGCAACGCCATTAACTCAATGTGGTCGTGCCAAGGTGTTGTACACCTTAACATAAACACATTTTTTTTTGACCAACCTCCTTAGTTTCTTAGTTTCCATAGTTTCCTTAGCTTTCTTGGCTCTGCCCTACCAACACCGTAAAAAGTTCACACGATATTTGTTGCATGTTTGAAACCTCCGAAAACAAAAATAAATTAATGTCAAAAATAAGGTCTCAATTCCCTTTAAATTAACTATTGCTATTTACCGGAACACCAATAAGAAGATTTTATTTTTATATGAGGAAATCGCTAAATAAGTTTTCATTGATGGTTACACCGTAACAGAAATGTAGTATTATATTATACTAAGACTCCAATTGTGAAACTCGTAATACAAGACATTTTTAAAGTTTACTTTAAAACCTCATAAAACACGTGTTAAACTCCAATAAAACTGCTAGTGAAATTAACGTTTTAGCTCAAACACGTGTCAATACTGGTTTTATTTCCAGTGTTTTCAAAAAAAAGTGAAATTAGATGCGTCGACTTAGACGTTTAGTCTTTTTATGTGTACGATTTTTGAAGTGGTGGGCACAACTATCAATTTTTACAAAAAGCCCTCTGTATCTTGAAATTTTGAGAAAAACATATCTACTCATTACCTCTGGAGTCGGCCATGATATATTTTTACCTAAGCTAAAGGGGTTAAAAACTTAAATTACATTGTCCATTGACACTATAACTAAAGTTTATATAAAAATAAAATCCTCTTAAATTTTTTTACTGTTTACATTAAGTTATGTGATTTTTCATGCAAAAGAATAATTATTTGAGTGTCAGTTTACAGCCATATCTAGCCAAATATAAATATATTGGCATTTCCGGTATCCAGTCGGTATGAAAAAGTCTAATCCGGCATATTATATTTATTAAAAAAATTATTATAATTACATTTTGCAACCATAATTATTATTCAGTGAAAACGAGGCAGTGATCTAAAAATCAAAACAAATCCACAGTTTTCAAAAAGTTATATCGGCTAAAATACAACTTTTGAATAGTGGAGTTTTTGGTGTAATTTAGCGACTGCAAAATATATATATACATATATTATATTTATATATTATTTTATAGAAATAATACAAAAAAAGTTTTTATCATGTAAACATTATTTGTAGGCGCGTACAAATAATAACTTCCTATTTTATATGTATATATTTATATCATTACGGTGTAAGCTAGCCCAATGGCACCGCGCATACCGCGGAATTTCAAATGGTTTTAAAGTTTCCAAAATTCAATGACTTTTTTTTTTTTGAAGTAGTAGGACAATTTTAAATAAAACTCCCATTATTCATAGAACAATAACAATAAATATTCCCGACCACCAAGTTTTTAAACGCTAAGAACTAAGATATTATGTTTAAATGTTAAAAAAGTTCTCGATTCAATTAGACTCCTCATCCTTTTTTTAATCTATGTGGAAGTTTTAAAACATATTTAATGTGTTTTGGTACCTAGGAGTCCTTACCATCAAAACTTCGTTTCCGCTGCAAGTTTTTTTAATTAATAGTGGTCTTAAGACACGAATAATATATGCAAAGCCAAATAAAACTTAGTACTTTCTAAACAAGGTTGGAAAGAAGTTGAATCAAGCTAATTGATGCAAAAAACATCAAGGCTTATAAAATTTATAATTATATAATTATTTATAAAAAAAGATATGTAAGAGAAAAGTTCATGAAAATTACGCGTTTTTTGTCCAACGTCAAATCTTTTTCATTGCGCTAATAACAGTAGTATTTTATGTTATTACAAACCCTTAAATTATAATTTAAGGGTTTTACTAATTTAACTGTTGATAATTATCAATAATTAAATTAGTAATTCTAAAATTAATGATCATATAGTAATTAGAACTGCTTACGGTCTTTTAAACGATAACTCAAATGAGTAACACCAAACATTCAAAGTAATAATAACAGCAACAATAAAATTCATAGTATAACAATATTAAAGAATAATATTTACGATTAACTGATAAAATAAAAATAATAATAACAATAGTAATAACAATATTAAAATAGTAATAATAACAACAAAGAAGAACATGTTGACGGTGTTAGTTATTATTCGTTAACTGTTAAAAACTTTATTATAAAATAGCTAAGAAACTGATTGGACTACTATCAAAAAACTTTTTATAAATCTTCAAATATTAGCCGAAAATTAACTTAATACAACAAGTTTAACTTTGCGTAAAAGTTTTTATATAAGCTTACTTTTAACTTCTCATTGTTATTATTGCTAATATAACAATTATGATTACTGTTTTTATTACTATTGTTATTTTTATCTGCAAACCACAAAAGGAAAAATTATGTTGAACCACAGTCTGCAAAATTCAGGTCGGTATTCGGCAATGCCGACGCAAAAACCTAACGGTAATTGATGATGCACTTGAAGATTTATTTATAATTGATTATTAAGAACTTAATGTTAAAAAAGGAAATTTAAAATGCCATATATGGCATTATAAATTTCCTTTTTTAACATCAATTTCTTAATAAAAACTTTTGGTTCTTTAGAGAAACAATACACAAAAGTTTTTCAATCAGGTGCAATAAAGCGAAAGGCTAAAGAACTTTGCAACGTTATCCTCCATTGACACACCCAGAAACCAGCAACCACTTAGTGCAGATTATCTTTTTCCACCAGAATTACACCTAATGAAGAGAGCTATAAACCATATTTATAATCATATATAGAAATGTGGTGGTAAAAACGAAGTTGCTAAAGTGCCAATGATTATAAAACATTTTAAAAGAGGTCCAGAATAATGCCTTTAATGGCAACGCCTCCCGTAAAATCCTTAAAAATCGATAATGATAAGTACATGTGTGCATTGCCAATTAACTTAAAACTATTGGCAGAAGGGCTTAAAACTTTTACCAATTTGGTTGAGTCTTGTTTTGGACAAAAACTTCATAATGATTTTTAAACACATGTTAAAAACTTTGAAAATCACTACAGAACACTGATTGAAGATTATCGAATAACTGTTAAATTGAAAATTCATTTTACTTTAAAATATGCTTTTTGTGCAGTAAGAGGGCGTGGATTAGGCTGCTACTCTGAACAAACTGTTGAAGTAATTCATTAAAGCTTTGTTAATGAACCTTGGAATAGATTCAAAGTTTCCAAAAGTAGCAGCTCCTTTTCTGAACATTTAAAAAAAAGCCGGCATCAGTTTTAACAAAAAAGACCTTGCAAATATTGCAAATACTCTTGAAAATATATTTATGTTTATTTAATTATATCTTTTTATGCTAATGCCACAAAAGTATGTTAAGTTTATTAATAAACAGCATCTTAATAACATAAAACATCAGTTAATGTTTTTGTATATATATGTAACGTGCATGGGTTTGTAATTTACAAATGACATTCATGATAGTCATATTCAAACAATATATTTTATTTATTACTCATTTTCACACCTTAAATGGCTATAGCTTTTGAACAATTGATAATTTTTTATATATATTTATTAAAAAAAAAAAAAATTCCACGAATTTAGAAAAAAAAAATCCGAAATTGGGCCCTTTGGCCCCTTAAACATAAATATTGTGCTAAAGGGAATTTTATAATTTCGGTGACATATCAAACCTAGATCTACTCATTATAACAAATCCAACGATGTATAACAATCGCAAAACTAAAAAGTGATTGGAGGCATGTGTGTAGTATTAATTTATTTTATTTGTTAAAACCGTTCATTTACATGTTTACGACTTTTTAAATATTATTTAGGATCAGAAAGTCTATTAGACATGTTAATTAAAACATTTAACTTTTTTTTTTATTGGATTCAAGTTTTTCATTAAGATTTTGAAAACGCGATAATGTTACAGGAAAGAATCTCAAAAAATTGCACTTAAACATTGCTTATAAATAAGAAAAAACAACTATATTTAGTATTATTTTTATAGATTTTTTTTTTCCTCTCCACGTTTATTTTAAAGGGTCAGATTATTTACATAAAGTTACAAGTTCGTCTTATGCTACAATTTCAAAGAGTGTTTTTTTTTTATTATTAAAAAAACGGAGAATAAATACTGCATGGGAAGTAAGTTCTTATTCCCCGTAGAGGTTAGAACAACCGAATGTAAATTGTAAACGTCTACTAATTTTTTTTTTTAATTTGCCGCTAACAAAATTTTCGTCTACAGCACATAATCTAAATTTGAATTTCTAAACTGTAAAAAATGTAATAAATAAACTATGCTTTTTTTTGTTGTTCAAAAACAACTTTAAAACTAATAAATCACTAATTCATAAATTTGCTATATACTTACATAAAGTTTAATTGCTACATTCGTTAAAATACTATTGTCTTAAGCTCTTCTATTATAAGGTAATGCTTTAATCATTTCGTAAATGAAAGCAAAAAATCCAAATAATTTTTTTCCGACCAAACGTCGGCTTAAAACGGCACTCTTGTGCCGAACTGAACTTCTTCAAATTTCGCAGGCTGTAGGCACACATAGGTTGTCTAGTGTGGTTGGAGCCGCACTAGACAATCTAATCGTAATTTTCATAAATGTTACCAATGGAATAGCCTTGCCTATGGTTACAAATCAGACAATGTACATTTAGTTATGCTGGTGTGCATTTAATTTAAAGAGTTTGTTCTAAAAACAGCATTTTTATTTTAAAAAATTATTTTTTAAGGAAGGAGAAAGTTGACCAGTGCCATCAACTGCTGCCCTACATTCAAGGCTGGGGACCGGTCATGACAGTCGGCAAATTTTGGAAAACGAGGACCTTTTTTTTTTTTTTTTAGTCGGCAAAAGTTGTAATGGCAACCCCCCCCCCCACGTGACATCTCTTCGCCCCGGCCCTGCCTACATTTGCTCTAACATTTGAGATTTTTGAGTTAATTAGTCACATATAGTGTCACATTTATTCACAGTTAGTATAATTCTTGTAGCCTTGTTTGGTAACTTTTTTAAAATTTTAATTTGTTATTTGCATCAAGAAAAATAGGTGTAACGTTATTTAAAATAAGGATCAGTCATGCCATAACTGCTCTTTAAATCCATAACTTATGGTTTTAAAGATTAATTTTTTGATCCATTGAGTTAAATACTAGCTTATTCTAGCAAGGTATCCAACATACTTGATGTTTATATAATATGTTTGATAAAATTGTTTTGGTAATCAATATGCTTATATGTTTCACTCACTCACTAAATTTATAATTATGTCATCCAAGATTACTTTTACATTACTGTTTTGATTTGATTTACAAAATATCTCTTATTTTAAAATTTTCAATGAGCTAGTAATGGAATTATGTGTATTTAACTTATTTTTTTTTTCAGCTATTAACAAACTACATTTGTTAAAAGTATTTGATGTTTATTTAAATTTTTATAAAATACTTAAAAGTTTTATGTAAATTGTAAAATTTTATTACTTACCCTTAACAATGTTAAGGGTTTTTTTAAAATCAATAAGAATGTTAATAACATTCTTCGTATTTATTGTTTTTAAAAAAAATCTGTTTTATGGTGTTTATTTATTTTTACCATAATCTACTGAAATAATATAAATGTATGGTATGATACTCAGTTTGCATTTTAATGAAATTTACAGGGGAAGTATTATAGTAGATATTGAAATATATATGTTTACTACTGTGTATTTAGCTGTGCATGTTTCTGATTCATTTTAAATTATTAAAATGAGAAAACTTTTTTGCTAATAATCTTCATGTGAGCAGTGCTGTAGCTAGGTAACCAAGGGCCCTGGGGCCAATTAAAAAATGGGGCCCCACTGCTATGTAAACTGATTAGGTTTTATCAAATAAAAATATAAAATATACAAATACTTTAAAAATGCAAAGCTACTTAAGCTCTTTTTTGTGCACTGCAGGGCAGGTAATAAAAAAATTAAACAGTAACAACATAAATTACAATTAATACTTGGTGTAGGTTTGGCTAATAAAATGAAATAGAGAAGATTTAAGGGTTTATTATATAAAGGTCAGGCTTACCATTATTTTAAAACGATTGACGCAATTTTCTTACACAGATTTCTGGTAAGGATTTGAGGGCCTCTTGTGCTTGAGGGCCCTGGGGCACTGCCCTAGGTAGCTACGCCACTGCATGTGAGATGCCTACTCAAGCCTCAACCCTCAGTCTGAAGCTCTTGTCTAACCATGTTTCAGCATGATACTTCATGTATCATGCTGAATCAGCATGATACTTCATGTATGTCTAAATACACAGTTAAAGATATATACTTATACTGCTGGCTTATGTCAACAACTGAAGGTTAGAGATTCGGAAAATAGTATCTAGATTAGATGATTAAGCATTTCAAAGAAAAGTTTTTTTTTTCAATTCTTATAATTATTTGTAACAAATAATAACCCATTTATTCTAAATACTATGTGGCCCAGCTCTAAGGTTTAAACTTTTTTTTTATTAGCCAAGTTATGTGTACTATTTTTTCTTTGAATTTAGAAAATTCACCAAAAATCACCTTGTTTCAGTTCAATGTTGTTGATGTTCCTGGAATTAAGAAGTCTAAAAGGTTGGAGCTTGAATGTATTGCTACCGGTAAACCAGAACCTGATATTGAGTTTCAATTAAATGGTGCAAATTTAATAAATGGATCAAGAATAACCCAAATTTCTAAAAATAAAATTATAATAGATGATGTAACATACCAAAATGATGATGGGAAATATAAATGTGTTGCAATTAATGATTATGGAAGAGATTTTTCTGAAAATGAAGTTAAAATAAAAAGTATGTGTTTTTTTATGATTTATATAAGTAATGATTTGATTGCAAACTGTAAGTTGTAAACATCTTGAAATTACATTGTCTGAACTACATCCGTCAAGAAATTGATCGAAATACTTATTTATAGTCTGTTCTTTTTTGACATACATAATAACACACTGGATGATGTATTATATAGTTTTCTTTAATGAGAAAAGTTTGGAATATAGGATAGCGACCGACTAGTTAGCTTTGAAATGATTATATTTACTTTACATAATTTATTTTGTTATTTAACATAGTTTAGTGATTTTTATTTAATTAACAATGTCAGCCCTCTTTTGGTTAACTGCCATTTCACAACAATTAATAAATTTTTTTCTTTGGTATTTATGATTGACAATATGATTTTTTTCAAATTAACTTTTTCTGCAGTTTGAAAATAATTATTTGACTTGCATTAATTGAATTACAATAATTTAATAAGAATTTTGATGGGTAATCCAAAATATATAGTTTTGTTGTTTAAGAAGGTTTAAGTTAATTTTTCTACAAACATATTAGTTCCTAGAATAGAAAGCTCTTTTAGTAAGCCCTATATCCATTATGTTTCAAACATAGTTGGCATATGGCTTATTAAAACAAAATCTTTTAAATTCAAGTTTGTTTAAATATTCTATTTATTCATTACTCATAAACAAGTTTACCCAGATATAGATGGCTAGATATAGTTATTTAAGTTTTTTTCAAAAAAAAGCTCAGTTTTTTTTTTAACAATATTTTAATTTGTTAAGTTATGAGTTAGGTACTTTTTACATTGCTAAGTCTACACTATGTCCCACCACATCTTCTAATCTTTGTCTTGTCTTGTCCTACCTAATCTTTTTTAACTACTAGGAATTAAGAGATTTTTTTTAGTATAAATTAAATGTGTAATATTGAATTTTAAATTAAAATAATAAATATAATGTATAAATACAAATATAATGTACTAAGTTTGAGCTATTATTATATTTATATATTTATACATTTTTTAGCTATTGGCAAATTTGATCCGCTATATCAAGAGAAAGATCGGCCTATTGAATTAAAAGTGAAGTTAGGTTTGCCAAAAGAAGTATTCTGTCCCCCACATAGTTATGCTTATCCAAAACAATACTTATGGAGTTTTGGAACCAGAATACAACCTATTAAGGTTTGACATTTAATTTGTCACTGATATTTAAAGATTTTTTTAGAGTAAGTTAAAATAAATAAGAGTAATAAATAAACTAGAATTTATATGACTATATTTTTCTGTTTTATTTATTTTGTAAGGATTTATTTATTGTTCTGTTTTATTTATCTTGTGTGAATTTTTTATCTTTCTGTTTTATTTATTTTTTGTAAATATATCTCTTGATAGAGATATTTGATATCTATAGTATATCATATATCATATCCTACCTCTATCTATGGTATATGATATATCATATATCATATAATATCTATCCTTACGATATATCATATATCATATACCTCTATCATTGAAATGTTTTTACATCTAAGAAAATTCTGAGCTAATCAGGCTGAAATATCACATAAATAAATTAAAAATCAGTTAGAACTTAGCTATGCTTTATGTTATATATTAAGTTAATGTTAATAGGTTTAAACTTTTGTGTTAAATTAATTTTAATTTGATTTTTTTTTAATTTAATCAATGAAAATGCTGAAAAAAAGTATTTTTACTCATTTGAAGAAGTATAAAACTAAATAAAAAATATTTTTTCTTTACCTTGGGAAGGTAAAGAATATTAAAAACAAAAAAAAACTTTTGTTTACAATTTTGAATTTCAATTTTATAAAGTAAAAATACTTTTTAGAATATCATGCTATTTATTCACCTGTTTTTACTTTCAAGAGTTTTGAATGCAATAAATAAGATTTTTTACCTATTTGATAAATGACTCTGTAAGACGCCTCTATTTATAATATATTATATAACTTATTATTGTTATTTTTTTAATTGATAAAGAATAATACTTTTAAAATTTAACTGAAAATTGAATTAAGTTTAAAAAAATCAAGCCAAATTTCTATTTCCAATTTGGCATCAAAGTTGAAGCCAAAATCAACTTCATCTTACAGTAAACTTTGTAATCCAAATTTCAACAATATTTACTGGTACTTAATATACATATATTTTTCGATTTGAAATTTTTTTTTTTTAGTAGTAATATTTTAACACCTAGATTTTAAAGCAAATCCTTCTCTCTGTATTTGAATTATTATATGTGCAGTATAGTAACAGTTTAATACATTGTATTTAGAGTGAAGGTAACAAAATTTTAATGAGTAGTGGCTCAGGTTTATTTTTTTCTGTCGTAACTGAAAAAGATATACAAGATGTTAACAAAAACGGTCTTCGCTGCGTCCTTAAAATGGGAGAAGTAACTGCTTTATCTGTTGCTCATAATTTTGTTTTGGACGGAAGTATGTTTTTTTATATTATTACTTAAATTTGAAAAAAAAATAGTTGTTTTTTTGCTTAATTAATCTTATGATAATTTTAGAAAAATGTTGCAACAAAATACTTTAGTAGACCAAGGTTTATAAAAGAGTTTATAAGTTTTCAAACATTGTTAATTTATAAAAATTGTTAATATAAAAAAAAAAAAATTAAGATATATGCATAAAAAAGAACATTTAAAGCAATTAAAAATCTGCTCAAATTTTCCATTGGTTTAAAGTAATATTTAAATGGGAAAAAAAGAATTATTTTATATATAATATTTAAATGAGAAAACCCATGCAATGACAAAGGCATGGATATATAAAAAATAATAAAAATGTCAAAAAGAATTTGGAATGATAAAAGTTCAGAAGAGCTAAAAATGCTCAGCCCTATTTGTTTAAAACTCATGAATGGTGGATTAAAAAAATATAACCAACATTACTTGCCATGCTTGTAAAAGTGTATACTATTGTAATAAGTAATTGTAAAAGTGTATACTATTGTAACATTACTTGCCATGCTTGTAAAAGTGTATAACAATTGCAAAATTGTTGGTGTAAATGTAAGCCAAGATTTTAAAATGTTTGGTGTTATTAAATGAATTTAAAGTATAAAAGTTAACAATTTTTATACTAAATTGTTGAAATAAATTTAAAAAACATACATTTTTTAATTATGTATATTAGTTTATTTAATTCAATGGGTGATACTAGGTTAAATAATTATTTTTTTCAAAATATGTAAAGGAATACAAAAAAAAAAAAAAAAAAGATTTAATAAAGGTTAAAAATCATCAAGTTTGTTGTAATGTTTGTCTAAATAATGATTTTTTTGTTTACTGTCTTTACACCTTTAGATGTAACAAATGAATCAATGCCAACATTTCATTTAAAACTTCCTAGTCAAACATTTGCTCCTCAAGGTCAAGAAGTTACTCTTCTATGTGTTGCAACTGGAAAGTATGTTAACTAATGTTTTTTTTTAATATTTTGTGCTAAGTATTTTAGCTGGGTTTAGTTTTTTGTTCTATCATGTA